CGTACACCACCAGCTCTAACAGGCAGTATACTCTTAGTAAAAGACAGTCTAGGCAAGTGAAAGGGGAAATTGTGTCTTTTTTTGTGCTACTGAGTTATTATTTGAACATGTAAGAAGAGTTGAACTATAGGCATGAACTTTTTCCTTGTATATTTTTGGCAGGATATTGCTGCAGCTGTCAACAATGTGGTAATGGCTGAGAATCTTTGTTTACTGAAGCTGTTATTTGGTGCTACTTTATGGTGTAGGGAATGTGCCTATTATGTTTCCAGTTTCCATAGTTTCTTTTCTTTTTTTTTTTAATATATATATTTCTTCCTTAAACCAAAAACAACAATTTCCATAGTTTCAAAGTTCTGTAGCAAGCACAGGTCATCATTATTTGCAATAATTCACTATGAACTGGCTACTTATAGAATTAATTCCTTTTCTTTTTTTTTCTTTTTTTTGAGACTGAGTCTCACTCTATCACCTGGGCTGGAGTCCAATGGCGCGATCTTGGCTCACTGCAACCTCTGCCTCCCAGGTTCAAGCGATTCTCCTGCCTTAGTCTCCCGAGTAGCTGGGATTACAGGTACCCGCCACCACACCCAGCTAATTTTTGTATTTTTAGTAGAGATGGGGCTTCACCATGTTGGCCAGGCTGGTCTCAAACTCCCAACCTCAAGTGATCTGCCTGCCTCAGCCTCCCAAAGTGCTGGGATTACAGAAAATTTAATTCTTAACTAGACATCCTTCTCATTTCACACTTGTGTAAATACCAACCACCTTTGTTGTCCAATCTCTTCTTGACTGTTTTGCAGAAGTCAGCAAACTCCAGCCTGTGGGCCAAATCATCCCACAGTCTGGTTTTGGTATTTTTAATTTTAATTTTATTTTTATTTTTGGCACAGTCTCGCTGTATTACCCAGACTGAAGTGGAGTGCAGTAGCATGATCTTGACTCAGTACAACCTCCACCTCCCTGACTCAAGCAGTCCTCCCACTTCTGCCTCCCAGGTAGCTAGGACTACAGGTGTGTGCTTCCATGCCTCACTAGTTTTAGTATTTGTTTGTTTTGAGACAGAGTCTCACTCTGTTGCCCAGGCAGGAGTACAGTGGCATGATCTCAGCTCATTACAACCTCCGCCTCATGGATTCAAGCAATTCTTCTGCCTCAGCCTCCCGAGTGGCTGGGATTACAGGCACATACCACCATGCCCAGCTAATCTTTGTATTCTTAGTAGAGACGAGGGTTTCACCATGTTGGTCAGGCTGGGCTCGAACTCCTGATCTCATGATCCACCTGCCTCGGCCTCTCAGTGCTGGGTTTACAGGCGTGAGCCACTGGGCCCGGCCAATCCATCTTTATTTCTAAGAACAAACGACATAGCTGTAATTATAACCTTAGTCTTACTAAATTAAGGAATCTTTTTTCATAGAACTTTTAGTTCTCATGAAAAGGCCCAAAACAAACTTCTTTTGAAGTACCAGTTGTTCTTGGCTAATGAAATATTTCTACACTTCATTCCATGTTCTTTGTTATGCCTTCATCAAACATGCCCCTCAGCAGTCAACAATAGCATTTTTTCTACAGTCCAAAGCCGATCTTGACTTTCTAAGGTAGACTCAGGTACTTGGTAACTGCATTTACCCGTATAATTTTAGTGAGTCCTGAACTCAGATCCAAAGATCTTGCCAGCACAGACCTTCCTGTTTGTTGGTATTGAAGGAAGTGCATGGTAGCTCCAGGGCATTCTAGTGGTTAGCTTTGTGCTTAGCCTGCTTATGGGGTGCAGGCTCCCGGGCTTGGAATCACAAGCAGGTCTCAGGCTCCTGGGAAGTAAATGGAAGACTGTCAGGTTTTCTTTCAACCTAACAGGCTTAAACAGCTGAGTTGTATTTCAGTCTTTTCAGAATGAATCTGAGCTCTTTGGGTGGATAATTTGTGTCATTTTGGCCAAACCAATGAGAGTTAAGGAAGGCTCTTCCAGACCAGGTGAGTGGGAACAACTCACAGATTCCCTGTCATGTCCACAGCTTTGGCCTTGGCTGCCTTTTTTTTTTTTTTTTTTTTTTTGATAGAGTCTTACTCTGTCGCTCAGGCTAGAGTGCAGTGGTGCAATCGCAGCTCACTGCAACCCCTGCCTTCCAGGTTCAATTGAGTCTTATGCCTCAGCCTCCGAAGTAGCTGGGATTGCAGGCATGCACCACCACACCCGGCTAATTTTTGTATTTTTAGTAGAGACAGGGTTTCACCATGTTGGCCAGACTGGTCTCTGATCCACCTCCTTTACTTCCTCTTACAGTGATGGTCCGAACACAAGTAGAGTGGTTTATAGTGGAGAAGAGAATGTAGCACCTCCATGGAAATAAAAAAATGAGTTTGAGATTCTTAGTAAAGGTGGAGGCACTGCCCCATGTGAAAGATTAGCGTTTGTACATAGTCACAACTATGCTCTGTCAGCCTTGACACAGGCTGGGACATTCCTTTTGGCTTGATTAAATTCCTCTTCCTTATTCTCATTCACTTCTGTTAAGAGCTGGACTTAAGGCCTGATATTTCCTAGTGACAACTTTTCTTGTCTTGTTCTAAGAGGGAACTTCTGACTATGAAAGCCTACCTAGTGAGCCCACTTTGTTGGCTAAAGCGGTGAAGAACTCGACATAGCTAATTAGCTATTGGCTGATGGCTTGAATTTCTTAACATTCATTTGATTCCTTCCTTTCAGTTTGGTCAGATGAAGACTGGGTGGAGAAGTTTTCTGGGAAGAGGATGAAAAGAAAGATGGTTCAGAACCTCCCAAAGCGGAAAGCCAAGAGGTGAGAATGAAAGTTCAGGCTTCCAGAGGAGAGGCTGCTGCTGTCCACCCAGGGAACTGAGGTGAGTGGTGTTGGGTGAATTGAAAGAGAAGTTTTGGGTTTCTTATCTAGGTGAGAAGTACCTTATGTGGGCTCAGGTATTTGTGATTGCTGCTGAGCGAGGCGAATATCTGAGATGAGAAAGGGTGATGAGTACTCCCCATCCCCAGCATCCACTGTCCTAGTCTTTGGCAGCAGGCTCACTGTCTTCCTGTTCCTGCCCTGATTCCACGGGGGCAGAATCACGTAGAGGCCCCTTCCCCTCAGTCAGTATGCAGGCACAAGGCTCTCCTGCCCTCTGTACTTGCTCCTGCGTCTCCATTAGACCATCCTGACTGTTGCTTCCCAGGATAACTTGGGGGCTCCTCCTCCTCTGTCCACCCTTGAGCAATGATATTTCCCTGAATTCCTTTCTTAGCCTTCAGCTCCTGCCTCCACATTATCCTTGTGCCATGCCAGCCACTTCTATCGCCTAAGGTTATAACGATCATTCATTGTCCAGATGATATTCTGATCTCTATCCCTAGCCCTGATTTTTCACATGTTTCTGTCTGGAAGTCTTATAGGCACCATAAATAAAGCATCTCCCAAATGGGTTTCATCACCTTTCACTCTAATCTTCCTTTATGCCCAATCTTGGTTCACTTTGCTGTCTTCAACATAGTGACACCCAAACCAGATTCCCCAGTCCCATCTTAGACCCCTCACTGTATTTCATACCTAATGCATTGTCATACCCTGCTAATTTTATGTTTTAAATTTTGCATTTCTCCTCTCCAGTTTTTTTCTGCCGCTATTGTCTTGGTCGAGGCCTTATCCTCTCTCCTGTGGATAATTGGAGTAGCTTCCTAACTGGTCTACCTGCCCCAGGCCTGCTCTCCTCCTGTCCTTAGCAGCCAGAGGGAGCTTTCTGAAGGACTGATCTGAATATACCACTCTCCTCATTTATAGGATTGACTCCAGCCTCCATCAAAAGAGACAGAAGACCTCTCTATGTTCTGACCCCTGCTTATCTCTCCACATTTTATCCCCATTTTTTATTCTAGGAAACAAGAGTTTGTAGATAACCTGTAAATCTCTGTGTTTTGATGTAAGTCATTCCTCTGCCTGCAGTGTCCTTTCCAACTTATTTTATGTGGCTAATGCCTGCTCATTTCTCACAGCTTAGCCCATTTATTGCCTTCTCCAGGAAGCTTTTCTGAATCCTGCAATGAGTGAGGTAAGTATCACTCTGGGCTCCCATGGCCTCTGGGTTCCTCTGGCACCCTCTGTCCTGGCATTATATTGAAATGTAATTATATAGAAGTGTGACTGGATTATATTGAAATTAGTTATTTAGCAAATGTCTAAATATTGCTTACTCTGTGCCAGGCACTGTTCTAAGTGCTCTACTAATATTTTATTTATTTATTTATTTTGAGATGGAGTTTCATAATTGTTGCCCAGGCTGGAATGCAATGGCACAATCTTGGCACACCGCAACCTCCGCCTCCCAGGTTCAAGCGATTCTCTTGCCTTAGCCTCCTAAGTAGCTGGGAATACAGACATGCACCACCATGCCCAGCTAATTTTGTGTATTTATTAGAGACGGGGGTCTCTCCATGTTGGTCAGGCTGGTCTCAAACTCCCGACCTCAGGCGATCCACTCGCCTAGTGCTGGAATTATAGGCATGAGCTAACGACAGGCCGATAAGCACTATTGTTATCCCTAATTCTAGGTGAGGAAGCTCTGGGGCACAGTGAGGTCAGTACCTTGTCCGGTGTTACACAGTTCATAAGTGGTGGAGCTGAGGTCTGAACTAAGGCTGTAGAGCTCCAGGATCTGTGTGCCTCTTACATTGTGGATATCCCTCCCCCAGTGGCTAGCCAGTTCCTCAAGGGCAGGGGCCATATCTATCTAACCACCTATCTGTTTATTTTTTATTTTTTGAGTCAGGGTCTTGCTCTGTTGCCTAGGCTGGAGTGCAGTGGTGCCATCACAGTTCACTGCAGCCCTGACCTCCCAGGCTCAAGTGATCCTCCTGCTTTAGCCTCTCAAGTAGTTGGAAGTACAGGCACGCCACCATGCCCAGCTAAATTTTTCATTTTTTATATTGTAGAGACAGGGTCTTATTTTGTTGCCCAGATTGATCTCAAAACTCCTGGGCTCAATCATTCCTCTTGCCTGGGCCTCCCAAAGTGCTGGGATTATAGAGTGAGCCACCCACCCAACTATATCTGTTTATTTAAGAATCCCAGTACCTGGCCTGATAGCTTAATACCTGTATGTTGAACTATTAATTCAAACTACAAAGAAGTAAAAAACAATAGAGTTTTCTCTACCTCACAAATGGGAGGGTTTGTATTGAATGTTGAATTTATCTTCTAGCCAATCTTATCTTGGAGCACAAAGCAAAATGACCCAGCCTCCTCCGCTATCTTCTGAACGCTTAGGCCTGAGCAGGAGGGCTGCCCCCTTGCTTTTATGTAGCCAGCCCGCGTATGTGCAGGGCCAAGCATAGAGGGAGGAGGTGGTGGGACATGGATGGCTTCGTTTAATTGGAAGACAGACGGTAGATTGGAACAGGCATTTGAAGATTTGAGAGTTGTTGATCATGGGCCAGAAGAGTGCTGTTCTGTGACTGCGGAGCAGGAGGAGGAAACTGATACTTCTGAGGGTGAGCCTGATGAGATAACATACTCATATGTGGGGCTCAGATTAGCCAGTGCTGAGGTCTCCTGTCTCTGGGCATCCAGCTGGTGCTACAACCAGGGCTCCTGCCTCCTGCAGCCCTGTCAGGCCCAAGGCCTTCCCTGTTAGCACTTGCTCCAGCCTGCTCACTGGAGTTGTGTTCTGGGTGGGTGTGTAGAATACTCACGCTCCTATTTGGGGTGTCAGGGAGCTCTCTGTAACTAGCAATTTCTTTTGCACCTAGGGAGAGCCTGCCGCTAAAAAGGCCTGGTCAAATCTTCGGGTGTATATGGATTGAGAACAAGCTGGCTGGCCTCATCTGGATGCTCCTGCGTTCTGACGTCGTGCCCATGATAGCAGGTGAGCAGCGTGCTGGAGTGAGTATGGTGGTGGCTGAACAGGATGGAGAGGAAGCTACCTGGAGTCCTGGGCCCTTAACACTTTTCATCTGAGGCATCTCATATCCCAGCATCTAGTAACAAATGAGGCACAGCAGGCACTTTTGAAGCTCTATAAAAGCTTAGAGCTGTTAGAAAGAGTAGGTAACTAAAAGTGATAAACAGTTTTATCCTCTGGTTTGGTTTTATTGGGTTTTTTTTGTAATTTTATTTGGATATATTTTCAAACTTACAGATATATAGAATAAGAATTCTGTAAGAATATTTCAAGGGGCCAGGTGCAGTGGCTCACACCTGTAATCTCAGCACTTTGGGAGGCCATGGTGGGAGGAGGATCACTTGAGTCCAGGAGTTTGAGATCAGCCTGGGCAACACAGCAAGATGCCGTCTCTACAAGAAATACAACATTAGACAGGTATAGTGGCATGTGCCTATAGTTCTAGCTATTGAGAGGCTGAGACAGGAGGATGGCTTGAGCCCAGGAGGTTGAGGCTGCAGTGAGCCATCACTGCACCATTGCACGCCAGTGTGGGCAACAGAGCAAGGCCTTTGCAGAAAAAAAAAAAAAAAAAAAAAATCAAGGGGAAAAAAATACAAGAAAAAAAGAATATTTAGAGGAACTCTTACGTATCCTTTACCTACTCATTAATTTCCTATTTGTGCCCTGTATGCTGTATCAGTTTCTTTATGTACATTATACACAGATGCATAAATGTATTTTTCCCCCGTTCCACTTGAGAAATTGAAGACCATGCACCTTGACTCCTAAATACTACTTCAGTATATATTTCCTAAGAACCAGAATATTCCCTGGCATAATAGAGTACAACTATCAAAATTATAAAATGTGATATCGAGTACTTCGATGAACCATATTCAAATTTATCACTTGTCCCAATATCGTTCTTTATGGTAATTTTTCTTCCCTGACAAGGATTCTGACATTGATTTAGTTGTTGAGTCTCTTTAGTTGTCTTTTTTTATTGCTGAGACAGAGTCTCACATTATCACCCAGGCCAGAGTGCAGTGGTACAATCTCAGCTCACTGCAACCTCCGCCTCCCGGATTCAAGCGATTCTCCTGCCTCTGCCTCTCGAGTAGCTGGGACTACAGGCATCTACCACCACGCCCGGCTAATTGTATTTTTAGTAGAGATGGGGTTTCACTATGTTGGCCAGGCTGGTCTTAAACTCCTGACCTCATGATCTATCCGCCTCAGCCTCCCAAAGTGCTGGGATTACAAGGGTGAGCCACTGTGCCCGGCCTAGTCTCCTTTAATTAGAAACAGTTTGTTAATTTCATTACCTTTTTTTGATCTTGACATCTTTGAAGAGCATAGGCCAGTTGTGTTTAAGGGTGCTTCTCAGCTCGTATTTGCCTAGTACTTCTTCATGATTAGATTTAGGTTATGTGTTTTGGCAAAAGCAGTAGCACAGAAGCAGTGTTCTTAGCGCATCGTATGGGAAGTACATGATGTCAGTTCAGATGTTCATGAAGTTAACTTTGTTGACTTGGTCAAGCAGTTGTTTGCCAAGTGTCTTCACTGGAAAAATGCTATTGTTTTTTCTTTGAGACAGGGTCTAGTTCTATTGTCCAGGCTGGAGTGCAGTGGTGTGATCACAGCTCACTGCAGCTTCAACTTCCCAGGCTCAAGTGATCCTCCCAGGTCAGCCTCTAACGTAGCTGGGACCACAGGCATGCCCCACCATGCCCAGCCAATTTTTTTATACAGATGGAGGTTTCACTATGTAGCCCAACTAATTCTTGTATTTTTTTTTGTAGAGATGGTGGGGTTTTGCCATGTTGTCCGGTCTGATCTTGAACTGGTCTCAAATGATTCTCTCTCTTCAGTCTCCCAAAATGCTGGGATTACAGACATGAGTGACTGCACCCAGCCAGAAAAGTACTATTTTTAAGAGTATCAATCAAAAGCTGAATTTTTTTCTTCTTACTATTTAGCCCATCTCCCAGAGGTAGTTACTATTGACAGTTGTATTTTCCTTTTCTCTTTCTTCTTTTTTTTTTTTTTGAGTCAGAGTCTTGTTCTGTCACCAGGTGCCAGGCTGGAGTGCAGAGGTGCAATCTCGGCTCACCACAATCTCCACCTTCCTGGGTTCAAGCATTTCTCCTGCCTCAGCCTCCCGAGTAGCTGGGACTACAGGCACCCGCCACCACGCTCAGCTAATTTTTGTATTTTTTAGTAGAGACGGGGTTTCACCATGTTGGCCAGGATGGTCTTGATCTCTTGACCTCGTGATCTGCCCTCTGCATCCCAAAGTGCTGGGATTACAGGCATGAGCCACTGCGCCCGGCCATCCCCCTTTTTCTTTTTTTTTTTTCTTTTTCTTTTTTTTTTTTTTTGAGACGGAGTTTCGCTCTTGTTACCCAGGCTGGAGTGCAATGGCACGATCTCGGCTCACCGCAACCTCCGCCTCCTGGGTTCAAGCAGTTCTCCTGCCTCAGCCTCCTGAGTAGCTGGGATTACAGGCACGTGCCACCATGCCCAGCTAATTTTTTTGTATCTTTAGTAGAGACGGGGTTTCACCATGTTGACCAGGATTGTCTCGAGCTCTTGACCTCGTGATCCACCCGCCTCAGCCTCCCAAAGTGCTGGGATTACAGGCTTGAGCCACCGCGCCTGGCCATCCCTTTTTTTCTTAATATTCATAATGATCTTTTTTACCTATAATATTTTTTCGTCTTAATGTAGCTTTATAAAATGTTTCTAAGTCATAATTGCATGTAGTTTAAAGAAAATCGTTCTATAATAAAATATTTTTCTGTTCCCCCAACATCATTTTTCTGCCCTGCCGGAGGCAATATTCATTTCTTTTAACTATTTTAATTATTTGGGCTTTTATTGCTATGTCTCTAAAAATATATTACTGCTATTGACTTTTTTCAGTTTTTGCCTGTTTTTGGTTAAGTTTTTTCTGGGGAACACCCGTAGAGATTTGCATGCGGGAAGTTTGTTGGGGAGGGATCTTAGGAACAACTCCCGCAGATGAGGGAAGCAGATTGGGCAGACGGAGTGATAGAACTGCCTGTAGTCACACAGATGCCCCAGCTGATCCCAGGGGGAGTTTTGGAATGTGGATATCCCTTCAGAGTTATCCTGAACTAAGGCCAGGGGATCAGGCCTTTGTGTCCTCCTGTGGGCCAGTCACCAATTCTGGCTGATTCCCAGGAGTGGTGTGAACGTTGGTGAGGCAGCTTCCTTTGGCCAAGGGCATTTTCTGGGACGAGTCTCATCCTGGGGTTGGTGGTACCCAACACTCCTGGATGCTGAGGGAATTGACGGTCGTGGTCTTGCAGGGGTTCTGATTGACATACCCCAGCATCCACTGTGCTTCTCCCATTGTACCTCTCAGATCCACTTGCTTCCTATAAGTTCACTTCACTTGAGGTCAGCTCCTTCAGGGTTCTGGTTAATCTCTTTTTCTAGGAAAATTAGAGGAAAGATAGTGGGATGAACTCTGGTCCCCATTATTGCTGTTGGTCCCAGAACTGCAACTGATACTCATCATCTTCCTCCTCTACTGTCTTTTTTTTTTTTTGAGATGGAGTCTGCTCTTGTCACCCAGGCTGGAGTGCAATGGCGCAATCTTGGCTCACTGCCACCTCTGCCTCCCAGGTTCAAGTGATTCTCCTGCCTCAGCCTCCCAAGTAACTGGGATTACAGGCACCCACCACCATGCCTTGGTAATTTTTGTATTTTTAGTAGAAATGGGGTTTCACCATGTTGGCCAGGCTGGTCTCAAACTCCTGACCTCAGATGATCCACCTGCCTTGGCCTCACAGAGTGCAGGGATTACAGACATGAGCCATCATGCTTGGTCTCCCTCCTGATATCCATTTTAGGTGCCTCTCATCGTCACCTCAGCTGGCTCCTCTGCTCATCTAAATGGCTTAGCTGGTGGGGTGACCTAGACCTTTGTCTGTGGGAGTTTGAGCTCCTGGTCACTATATACCTTCTCAGGTCATGGCTGGCTAGCACAATTGGGCAGGGGAGTCCAAATTTTTTTTTCAGTTGTCCTAAGACCAGTTTATAGAAAGTCCATCTTTGCCCCAGTGATTTAAGACGCCAAGCTTTGTGAAATACTTAATTCCTTTCTTAATATACATATTTTAATAGAGATAAGGGCTTGCCTCGTTGTCCAGGCTGGTCTCCAACTCCTGTGCTCTGGCAGTCCTCCTGCCTTAGCCTCCCCAAGTACTAAGATTACAGATGTGAGCCACCATGCCCAGCTGAAATGCTGAATTTCCATACATATCTGGGTCTGTTCTGGACTTTCTCTTCTGTTCTCCTAATCTGTTCAATCTATTTATGTGCCACTTCCACACTTAAGCATTTAGTTTAAATGAAGGTACTAAGTGCCTTTTTTTAGATTTGGAGAGTTGGAGTTTGGGCCCCCACACAGGTGGGCTGCAGAAATGTGTCCTCCCTCGGAATCAGGAGGGCGACCTCCTTCCCTCACAGGCTCTCATGGGCTCCAAGCAGGGGCCCTGGGACTGAGATGCATGGAGTCACCTTTTGTTGACTGCAATAAAGAAACTGAGACTGGAGCGCATTGGCTCGAATGTGGCTCACTGCAGCCTCAACCTCCTGAGATTAAGAGAGCCTCCCACTACAGCCTCCCAGTAGCTGGGACTACAGGTACATGCCACCATGCCCAACTATTTATTTTTTTTAAAACAGAGTCTGGCTCTGCCACCCAGGCTGGAGTGCAGTAGCATGAACTTGGCTCACTGCAGCCTCTGCCTCCTGGGTTCAAGCAATTCTTCTGCCTTAGCTTCCCCAGTAGCTGAAATTATAGGTGTGCACCACCACACCCAGCTAGTTTCTATATTTTTAGTAGAGATGGAGTTTCACCATATTGGCTAGGCTGGTCTCGAACTGCTGACCTCAGGTGATCCACCCACCTTGGCCTCTCGAAAGTACTGGGATTATAGGCATGAGTC